CACACTTGCACCTCTAGGGTAACCTCACTTGTTGCTTCGGAAAATGCAATCATGTCCCTCGAGTATGAGACACTCTAGCAAATGCCCCTTCGATAAACAAAGATCATAGTCCCTCGATGAACCTCGATGTTGCCTTCGATAAAACGATCTCGTCCCTTACAAAATTGCCAGAGCGTCTCACAAGTTGCTTTCAATGATTGTATACGATGACCCGCGCCTGTCCCGTTTAACATCCTAACACAAGGTTATTCACCAAATACAATGATGAAATAACACTGTTAAAAGGGTTAAAAACATAAGAAAGATCTTTGAGTAAAAAAGGGTAGATAACTCTTAGTTACTTGATCAAAAGCTTGCAAAACATCCTTGCCATTTTCAAACACACCTCACAACATAATTTAAAAACAAACTTTCAAAACATTGAAATATCTTTTCAAAAAGACACACACATTTGTATATATTCAAACAAGAATTATTACAAAGGTTGCCTAGACAAGGCTTCTTTTTCAAAACATTTTCCAAACCGCACACACCAAGCACCATTTCAAACAATTGAAAAGCAAAGCAAGTGATCTAAACAAGTAACTAAGAGCCCATGGATAACCATGGATGAAAAGGGTGCTTGTACCTTCCCTTTTCATAATCTACCCCCCGAACCCAAGAAAACATCTCAAAGGTATTTCTCGTGCTTTTTGACCTTTCCTTTGGATAAAATAAAAAGTCGGTGGCGACTCTTGCTAAACCGAACAAATGCGAACACAAATGCGAAACCTCAAGTCAGTTCTCCCACCGTATCACACTACCCTCGTGTCATTTATTCTCTAGGTCATGATAAACACACAAAATTTTTCAATTATCTATCCTATAGGTTGTGATAGGTATGCAAATTTTTTTGGGTTATACTATTCATCCTCTAGGTCGTGATGAATACATAAGCCTATCCTTGTGTCATTTATCCTCTAGGCCGTGATCAATGCACAAGCTCATCCTCGTATTGTTTACTCTCTAGGTTGTACTAAACATATGAAATCTACAATATAATTCATTGTGTTATTCTCAATGCGACAATGTATTATAAAGCTCCACTTTATCCATCTCATAGGTTGTGATGAATAGACAAAATATGCGTCTTAAGCTTACTATGTTAGTCTCAAATCATTAGTAAATAAATTTTCAAACTTGCATTATTTATCTCCTAGGTTATGGTAAATACGCGATGAGTCTACGATCTCTTTTAGGTATTGACGAGTTGTCTTGGGAGACCTTTCCAACTCCAATGGTCATATTCAGAGAGGGCTTCAACAAGTGCACAATGGGCTCGGTCAAAAGAAGATTCAAGCCACCCATAGATGCCAACTCTGACATGAGTTCCATCCTCAACTGTAATAATCAGTTTAAAAATATAGAGTCGTCACCATTAATTTTTATCCTAGGGAAGGAAATATAATAGATAACCCTAATTGATCAGAGGTTCTAAGTTGTTGACTCGTTTTAGACGAAGGGAGGGTTTTAGGTACCCCTCATCTACCTTATTCTCAAGGAAGTCTTAGGGTTTGGGTTAAAAGGATTGGATAGGGGTGTGACGTTGTATTAGAAACTAGTGTTTCAAAACCCTAAGACTTCCTTGAGAATAAGGGAGATGAGGGGTACCTAAAACCCTCCCTTCGTCTAAAACGAGTCAACAACTTAGAACCTCTGATCAATTAGGGTTATCTATTATATTTCCTTCCCTAGGATAAAAATTAATGGTGACGACTCTATATTTTTAAACTGATTATTACAGTTGAGGGTGGAACTCATGTCAGAGTTGGCATCTATGGGTGGCTTGAATCTTCTTTTGACCGAGCCCATTGTGCACTTGTTGAAGCCCTCTCTGAATATGACCATTGGAGTTGGAAAGGTCTCCCAAGGGCTATGGGTTGCAAAGTATAAAAGGATTTCGTCCAAGTCGAGGACGTAGAAATCCTCAGGCCCAGTGATGCTCAAGGCAACGAGCATGAGGCTCGTGTCGGGAAAGGCTTATCTTCTTCCACTTTCTTGGACTCTTGGGTGTCTTCTCAAACACCTTCCTTCTTTTTGTACTGTTTGAGATGCCCGTCCCGGATGAGTATCTTAATTGCATCCTTCAGATGGATGCACTCGTCTGTATTATGCCCGTGACTTTTGTGAAACCTACAATATTTGATTTTGTCCATCCCAGGTTTGGATGATGTTTGACGGGGTAAGCGTATCCCAACTTGTTTGAACTCCGAATTGGTGCATTCCATCAGAATCCACCCGCGCAAAGTTTTGAGGGGGGTGTAGTTGTGGAAGCGACCAACCGACCCTCAATAGTCCTTAGAATCACAAGATTTGTCTTCCCTATCCTTTTCTCCTCCCTGACGGGATGTTAAGGGTTTGTTAGTCTTCGAGACTTTCTCATTTTCACGATGCCGCGAGTCTCTCACGTTGTTAGCAACCTCTTTTTCCTCATACTGGATGTACACCTGAGCTTTGAGCAGAAGGGAGTTGAGCGTTGCAGGAGTCTCGATGCCAACTGCTTTAGCGAAATCACTACGAGGGTGCAAGCCTCGCTCGATGAGGTATTTCTTCATTTTGTAGGTCGTGGTGACCTGGAAGGCTTCTTGGTTGAACCTTTCAATGTATGCTCAAAGGGGATCATCCTTCCCCTGGATGATGGCCTCGAGCGCAACTTCTAAGTTGGGATGTCGATGAGATGTCATGAAATGCCTAGAGAATTGTCTCCACAAGCCCTTCCCATGAAGTGACAGACTCATAAGGGAGGCTCTTATACCAAACCACTGCTCCTTTTTTGAGCATCATTGGGAACAATCGACATTTGATCGCTCCCCGATAACCCCTGTAGTCGAGCAACGCTTCGATGTTTTTGATGTGCTCGTCCGGATCTACTGTGCCATCATATGTCCCCAAGTGTAGGGGTTTCTCGAGACTGATATGAAGTAGGGTCTCTATGATTTCTCTGGACAACAGCTCGTGGGGCTCATCCTCATTGATGTAATCAGGAGATCCTGGCGAGGAGTATTTGCTCCCTCCTTGTTGGGGGTTGTCGTCCCGATGGGGAGAGATGCTACTTGGATGCTGTCTTAATTTGAGCAACGAAGAATGGTCGCGATCGAGCCTTTGATCATTCTTTGTTTTCTTGGATATTGGGGAGCACCGATATCTTCGAGGAGGCGTGCGACCTCATTTCTTGAGGAAAGAAATCTATTGACACCCTCGTACGCGAAGACAGCCACACATTAGTGGTGATGGACTGTGGGAGCTGTAATGTCGATGTCTCTGAGGAGGAGACTTTGACTGCTTATTCTCCCAGGCCCCAATCCTTTTGCTCTACTGTATGATTAGGGTATTGGTCTGATTAAGGGCATCGAGCAGTGCTGCCATGGCCGAATCAGTGTTTGGCGGTATGGGAACGAGCTGGAGGACGGTAGGAAGCTCTTACAAGGATTTATTGGATTTATGATGATCCAAGAAAACAATGTCGTCGTGGTTGACGTCGATCGAATACGGGGATGCGGTTCTGCCATCTCTAGTGTCTTGGATGTCCTCGAAGAGAGGAGGCTCTGTGCTTCCGTCTGCCTTATGGACAAGAGAAAATACAGTTTTCCAGACAAATGGTGGTCATCGTTAACGACCATGATTTAGAGGTATGAAGGTATCTTTGGTCTTCGGTTTCGAGGAGGACGCAAGACGGGGAAGATAGTTTCCCTCAGATGACACCACTGATCTTACCGGTTGATCATAACCTGAAAGTGGGCCGAAGGATGACGTTTTCTTGGCTGGAAAATTGAGGAGAAATGAGGGTGTACCTACAAGGCACTCCGACGATCAAGTAAGTATGGGTGCAAAGAGATACAAGAAAGATATTAAGGTTTTCAGTGTGAATATTTTATACCTGATCCTCACAAGTGTGAAAGTTTATATAATATCCTCAACGCTTGGCCATTGGTCCCTATTTTTGGGCCTAGATATGCGGGTCCACAAAAATAGGTAACTGCCAGGACTTGGTCAAAACGGTCAGTCGTTCCCGTAACTAACCGTTGTTTCAAGTAAGGCAGAGATTACAGACAGACGCGTTTGTGAGCGTTTCCTGGGTGTTTGCTCTACGTGCATCGAGCAGACTGGGAGGTAACTGCCCTCATGGGCAGGTGCACGTTTTGGGCATCACTGGTCGTGCCGCTCGAGGAGATAGGTCGACCAGGGGTGTTGGACCAGCGTTGTTGGGCCATGCAAAATTAGAAGCGGATTGAACCAATTCTAGTCATTGGGCCAGTCCAGAACAAAAATGATATTGCGCGATCCGTGCAACCGCAAAAATAGATTACTACTTAATTATTTTATTTATTTTTTCTATTATAATATGCATTTTTAACCGTCTGAGTATACTTAATCTTTTATATACATTTCTTAACCATCACTATATTATATTTATTTATTATTTATAACGATATTATGCGACCCGTGCAAACGCACATGTTAATGATTCCTAAATTATTTTCTTTATTTTCTATTAAAATATACATTTTTGACGGGTCTACACTACTTAATTTATATATCTTTTATATATTTTTTTAACCATCACTATATTATATTATTTATCATTTATAACGATATTGTGTGACTCATACAAATATACAAACACACAGATAAATAATCAATTATATTTATATATATATAAATTAATATTTATATAATAATCATTATTAAAATATTTTTTCTATTAATTCTTATTATTTATATATTTTTTAACTATTTTTATTAATATTTATTTACTATTTATATCAATTTTGTACAACTTTTACGAAAGCACAAATGTTTTAATGATATAATTAATTTCAAAATACAGAAGAAAAAAAAAGACACGAATTACCACACTAAATCTATTACGTGTAGGAAAGCGAGGCAACTGCATAAATGAGTTTTCCAAAACATATTGTAACTTTGAATTTAGTAAAAAAATAAATATATTAAAATTCGAAATGCAAAAAAATAAAATAAATACCATTTTGACAGCACACTCGCTTAACTTTTTCACCCTGTCTTCGAATGTTCGTCTCTTACACTCTCAGTCAGCCTGCCTCGCTCTAGTCGCCCTTCACACGGAATCGCCTCCGGTGCCGCCGATCGTTGCTTCGCCACCTCCGCCGCCTATTACCTCCTCGTCGGTACGTATTCGCAGCTAATCTCTCTCCTCTCCGTGTAGTCGATGTTATAGATTTTCCCTTTTCTTTCTGTTTTTAAGGTTCATCCATGAGTAGTGTGAGTGCGAAATGCATATCCTCTTGCTTCGCTACTATTGACTTCAATTATGAACCTTCAAACCCTAACTCAGAAAATTGCAGATCCTTTGTCAAGTTTTAATTAATACAGCTTCAGTAATTACCCTAGTTCTATGCGATTATTCAATTTTTTTAGTTAATTATGTTTTAATTAGGAATCAATGATGCTATAATGTAATTAGAAACTGATAGGTTTATCATTATATTGTTCTTTATTGATCGGTTATAGTGATATTATATCAAAAGACGGTTAACACACATAAGGTATTTGGATTTAGATGGATATGCTGTTGAATTGCTATGGCAATTTTTTGACCTCTTTTTTTGAGAGAGTATTTAATTTTTAGTAACAAATATCATATCTTCTTATTTTTATTTCGCATAAATATTTTATCTGAGAATTTATAAGAATTTATAATCAAGTGAAATCATGCTTTTTCTGCCAGTGCAGCAGGGACTTCATGATTAGTAGTTTAGTTTACATGAAGATCATAAGATGAAAATGAAAAAACATTGTAGACTTTGGTGGCCAAGGTCGCTCTTACCAAACCAAGAATCCTCCTCCAGTGTTTTATTGGGGTGGTTTGTCACCTGCTCACCGTCATCCCTTGACATTGTTGTAGCCTTTGCTTGTAGTGAAGTTTTGATTTCGAGTTCTAATCCCGCCATTGAGGTATATCAATATTAATATATTCTACTTCACAATTTCTTGCATGCAGTTTAGAACGAAATAACTGAAATAACAATCGCAGCAATGAAGTGATTATATGTCTTTCTTTTTTTGCAACCATTAATTGCAAGGAAATTTTGGTTTCCTTTTTTGTGATATTAATAGATTTTATATTAGACAAGATCTTGCAAGAGTTGTCATGTTTGAATAAAGATTCAACTTTTCTCTTTTAGGATATTCAATAAGGTATCATTTTCTTGAATCTTGAAAGATTCGCACCTAATATAAGGTGCAAATGTAATTTATGCCAGCTTATTGGAAATTTGTCAGGGAAAAATAGATAATGTTTGATGGGACAAGAAATTGATTAGGATGGGCTTTTGGGCGCAATTCCTACATGAAATGTTGTATAGCTAATTTTTTTTGTTAGTCATAAAAATCTCGGTTCTTTGACTGCTTCACACTTGTGGTAGTTGTGGGATAAATCCTGCTGTTAAGTCTTCTAATGATTCTTCCATACAAGTTGTCCTATATGGTTTCTGAAATGGTATGGTGTAAAGAGAATAACTAACATCATGAACTGCTGCTCTGTATCAGGGGATCATTCATGACATACACGGGAGCATGCCCGCAATTCTTCAGGATAGGTCTGTGTTCTCTGTACTTGGTCTGTGTATCACTGACAGTACTAGCAATAGTTTGACAGCTGAAGCAAAAGCTGATAAAAAAAAGTTCTCTGATTGTGGCAATGCATGGGCAGAAGGAAGTACAAGTGCACACAAAAATAATAGCTGTAGGAGTTGCAGTTTCCTCCAATTAGATGGATCATTGAGGAAAAGTACCCAATCTTTTATTGGAAAAAGTAATTGGGTCGTGCTGATGTTTGATTCTTCTGAACAGAATGGTGTAGGAATTTACAGACTTCCTAAATTGCACCACATTCATTGCAATGGACTAACTCTGTCAGAACATGATGTTCACGTATGTAAGTCACAATTTCTTCTTTTACTTTTTGCCTTTCCGCTTGTAGCTATTGTCAAAACCTTTTCAATTTCTCTAACAGAGATATATCATATTTGAACAAATGTAGGTAATAGTTTATGAAACACCTTCTTATGGTGCTCATCATTTCTCGTTGTGTCATTTTGGTTCAAATGAGCAAGCGAAAGCTCCCATTAAGAATCCTAAATGGGTTGATGGGCTTCATAAAAAGCAGAAATTCACTGATTTGGTAATAACGTTTGCCGTATTCATATTTGTGTATGCAGATTTTGTCCTATATGCTAATGTGCCTTTTCAATTTCACCCCAGGATACAGTTATTCTGGCAATTAATTGCACATCTGCTGCTAAAAGAATATTTGACAGACATGTGGTCCCAAGAAGATCCTTGGGCCAACCATCCCTATTTCCAATGTACACACTTCAAATACCAATGCACCATCTCCTGCTCTCTTATTCATGCTTTGACGATTTTGTGATTTTTCAGGTTTTTTGTTATCTTAGGGCATCTGTTTTGCAAGTTTTTGGCTTTGTTCTCCACCATGTTCTATATTGTTCTTCAGTTTTTCCAATCACATTTTAATCATGAATCAGAATCATGGTTGTATGTGACATCAGAAAATATATTCAAGAAGACGGCATGGATAACTATCCGAATCCGTTGTTGTCAGATATTGTATTGGCCAATTCTTCTTCAGGAGAATGACCTTAGGTAATATGATTTCTTTTGGTAAAATATTAATTTGCTATCTAATTTGTGGCTTGTTTCATAATTTGGACGTGTCGGACGTGTAAATGTACGAAGTTCATACACTTAGTTTCATATAAAGGAGATATTTTGGTAAGGGTGTTCAAGAAAACAAATCTAACTAACATGGTTAAATGAAATCTTAATGTAATTCAATTCAGCTTCTTCACTGTACTGTTTACCCAAAGAAATTTGAGAGGTTAGATTGAACCATATGGGCTCAATAATGTTGTATATAGAAATTTCACCTGATATGGGATTAGAGTCACATAATATAGAATATTGGTATTTACACAGTTAAGTGCAGGTACAGAGTTATGTATTGAAAACTTATTTTAACTTTTGAACTTTCAGTGTCTTTTGGGTGAAGTATTTTTATGAAATCGGTTTATTTTAGGTTTTTAGAAATTTAGGATAGTCGCCTAATTGTTTGTCAAGTTGGGTTTGCCTACTTCAGGATTGTTACATAATGGGAGATTTATTGATTTGAATCTGTGATTGAATTGAGCAATGCTATTATGTTTTCTCCCTCCAGGTCTACTTCCCTTGTTGGCTTGTTCCACTTTGCTTTTCCCACATTCGTCTCTTATGATTTGTTTCTCATCAATATGTTAGAAACTCATGGTTTTATTTTATATTACAAATAGAATACTGGAGTTGCTTGCTTGATGTTGTTTATTCATATTGAAGTATTACATTTATGTTTATTGTTTTTAAAATGAGTGTATTAAGAAATAATAAGATATTCCTGTGACCAGAAACACCAATGAACTATGGTTTGAATCTAACAATCCTTGAACAGTGTTTTTATTCATGTAATTCCTTGAGAACCTGTTGTTTCGTCTGGTTTTTTAAATTTGTGAGCTGTGAAGAAAGGTTAACTTTGCAGCTGAACAAAACAAGTTGCCAAACTGAACTTGACCTGGAACGCCCTAGTTTTCAATACACTAATGTTTACTTTGAAACAATTTTTCTTTGGTTGAAGTTGAATATGATATTTGACATTTTGTTTTTATCACTTAATATCTTGTCTTCTTTCAACTTATGTCAGAAATATTTTTTATATCTATAACATAAATTTAAGTTTTAAAATTAAATGCTTTAATTTATTTTTGATGTTCAACTATTCACTATTCATAACAATCTGTGATTTTTGATATTGATTGAATATTCCTCCATGTTTAACACTGTTCTTGTGTGCTAGGTCTCAAACATGTGTTGAATATGCAGAGAAAGCTGCAATGCATAGACATTCTATGTGGTCATCTTTGGCTGTTGATATTCTCCTGGGAAACTTGGTTGGCTGGTCACTGTTATATCATGAAGAATCAATTTGCTCGTCGGGTTTGAACTTTATTCATTGGTTTGCCACTTTTTTGCGCTCCGGGTGTGTTTGGTTAATGGGAAACCCTGCGGGCTTCAAATTGAATGCCGAACTGGCAAGTGTACTTGGTTTACTTTCTTTGAATGCAATTCAAGTATGGTCAACACTCTGGATCTTTGTGGGTTTCATCTTCAAATATTTTATTCGAGGCCTTTCTATATTAGGAATTCTTTGTGGATTTACTATACCCGCTTCTTTGATCATAGATATGATTGTGTTGGGAACCTTGCATGTTTCAACTCTTCATTGGTTTATTTCACTAGTATATTCATCACAGATACAGGCACTAGCAGCTTTGTGGCGGCTTTTTAGGTACTTCCTCCTTCTCATTTGAGTTGTGCACAATTTTTCAGAAAATGATTTAGTTGTGTTGATTTCAGTGATAAAATGATTAGGTGAATTGAGATACAATAAATAAGAGTATTTAATGGAATGAATTAATAAATATTATCTTGATATTCTAAAGTGACAAATAATTTGAGACATAAATATTGCAAAGGAGACACTTATAATGAGATGGGGTGGGGGGAGTAACAATATAGGTTCTCTTTGACATGATAGGCTGAAAGTAAGACATTGATTTGAATGAGAACTGAACATCATAATTTGGTATTTGTTTCATAAATGGAACATTCTAGTATTATATTTATAGTTTGTTTTGTAAATTTTATAAGTTGTTAACCTATGGGTCTTTGACTGTTTGGCACTATTTGTTTTGAAACAATTACAAGGTGCAGAGACATATTATACTCACCTAAATAAGAACAGGGACAGTGAGTTGAGACCTAGCTAGCACTATTTGTTTTGAACCAAATATTTGTTTTGAATATTTACTGGCCTCATATGTCATATTTGTCCCTTTTACTATGGTCTGTTGATAATCCTTTATTTGTTAAACTAATAGTATATGTCTGAAAACATTGACACGAGGGAGCAAGAACCAATTATTGTTAGCTGTTAAGAACTCGAGGGATTTGTAAAAAATGAAGATAACTTACTATAGAAATGTGGATCATTATATCCCTTATATTTTTTGAAAGCCTTTATATTTGCCGAACTACTTCATTCGTGATTCAGCATCCCTTTAATGAATATTTGTTATAGATGCACAAACATTTTGCATAATACTTGCTTTGCTTTCTCATATTTTTAAATTATAAGTTGCTGAATGTTTTGGCAGGGGTCGAAAGTGGAATCCTCTTCGCCAGAGGTTGGATAGCTTTGACTACACTGTGAAGCAGCATATTGTTGGATCGCTTCTATTCACACCACTTTTACTTCTGTTACCAACTACTTCGGTTTTCTACATATTCTTTAGTATTGTTGACACGACCATTAACCTCGTCTGCATACTTATTGAAGTTGCTATTTCGGTAATTCATGCTACACCGTATATCAAGATATTTCTTTGGTTGATGAGACCAGGAAGATTCCCTTGTGGAATATGGCTTGAAATTTTCGGTTGTCAGAGTAATCATACCGCATCTACAAATCAGGATTTTACTGATAAAATAAACTCATCTAAGGAATCATTGCATCCAAAGGATTTCAATAGAGAAAAATGTAGTACATTGGTTTCAATTCTCCACAGCAACTATTTGAGCATAGGTGAGGCCTGAAACTATTACGTTAGGGTTCAAATTGATTCTTCTATTTGGTTTTTTCTTTTTGTTGTCAAAATATGTCTATATGTTGGTAAAGTAATGAAATTTAACACATCATGTGGTGAATCCGAAAATATGTTCTATCCCTGTAGATTTTCTCTATTAATGTCTTGGGCTTTTGCTTTTACAAGAATTTGGATGTATAATATTCTTGTGAATTATGAATTATCCTTGACGATCTGTGTTATAGTAAAACCAGGCAGTGATGTTTTTATTTGTTTTTTATTTTATTGAAAATGAACATATATATCAGAGATAAAAGGAACTTATAAATCAGAGACAACCATATTTTCAAACATTTATTGAAAATGAATTTGAAGGCTTGATTGAAATATCAATTGCAATAACCGATACGGGAGCAGTATGACTTTGAATTATATGCCGCTGGTGTATGTTTGCATGGAAGAACATTACGTGCTTACTTCAATGGATTATATTTCAGGAGAAGTTATCTTGCCTCACTTCAGAAATGCATTTTTGGGAGTTTCTGGGTCATCCATCTCCACAGTAGCTTATGGAATTCTCATTGGGCAAAGGTAAGATACTGTAGCGACTAGTGCTAGTTTCTCTTGTAATTTTTGTGATTCTTTAGTTGTTTTCATTTAATTACTCTTTTCCATTTCTTTTTTCAATTTTGCTTTTATTTCCTCATTGCCAGATTGCCATATATACATGGAACTCTTCTTCCTTCACCAATGCCATGGATGTCCCTGCCCTACAAAGAGTATTGGCGCCTCTGTCATGATTCAGTTATTGCCTGCTTCAGATCACAGTGACTTTAGATTGGATTTTTTCGGTTGCCTACTATCAGGCATTAGTTCTGGGATTTATTTCCTCAAATTTCTTCCTACTTGCTTTTCTCTCTTGTTGGCGGCTTTAACTCTTTTAGACAAATGGTGCCTTTTACTCTTTTCAACGGGTAATGTTGAGAATTCTTCATTATGGGAGTGGCTTGTTTTTTTTTTTCCAGGGGGTTTTCCCCATACTGAGAATGATTCTGCTCCATAAAAGTAGCATTTTTGTAAATGTATTAATGAACTCTCATGCTGAGCTTATACGTGTCACTATCCATTGATTTTTTGACCGAGTCACTGCCCATTATTTATTCGCTTATTATTATGTTGGGACTGGGATGGAAATTATAGCTTTCTTACTGCGACTGTATCTTCTTTACTGTTACTGTATCGTTTTTTTGGGGTCAAATACTGTTATTTCATCTTTGAATTGGAGTAATATCTCAGGTCTGGAACCAAGTTGTATTGGTCCAATATATTTTAAAGAACCTACATTGCTATATGTTGTTTAGAACCTATAGAACTGCATCAAATCCACTTCCATATACACATTCGGCCCAACGGCTATGCTTAAACTTCGTAGCAGAAATATGCAGATCCAAAGTAAAATTAAAGCTGAAAGCTTTACCAACAGCTATGTATAAACTTCGTGGCAGAAATAATGCAAATCCAAAGTAAAATTAAAGCCGAAAATTTTACCACATGGAGCGTGTCTTTTGTAACTTATGTACGCTTGCCTTTAAAAACAATAAATGCTTGGAATGATGAAGTGCATGTTTGGATTGACTTTTACAAGTCACAAAAAACACTTCTATTCCACTTCAACATGAAGATTGGTCTTTTTTTTTTTTGCTTGGATTATTCTTCAAAATCAACTCTCCTTCTCCAAAAGCAATTATCTTAGAAGTTACAATTTATAACTTTTGAGATTAGTAAGAATCAATTTTACATTTATCATACTTTAGTTGTTATAATTCCTTTTGATTTTTCTTTAATTTTCATTTATAACTTTTGAGATTAGTAAGAATCAATTTTACATTTATCATACTTTAGTTGTTACAATTCCTTTTGATTTTTCTTTAATTCTCATTCGCGGACTTTTCTTCTTCTTTTTACTTTGTTAGAATTTATTATTATTTTGAAAATTACATATTCAAAATCAATTTTAATAAAAATTACTTTTAAACAACATTAATTGATTCGGAGACATATCTTCAAATACACAAAGATACCATTTAAAAAAATATATATGGTTTCGACATTTCCGAATGTACCCTAAAGAGAAATTCAGAGTTACATCTCCGGAGTCATCTTAAACATATGAAATTTTTTTTAATCTTGTTTTTGAAAATACAATTATGAAAATGTCCAATGGAAATTTGAATATATGACTACCTTGCATGATCATCTTTCTCACTCTTTCAAACTCTTTCAACCCCTCCGTAATAAAAAACCCTTGAAAAAAAATTCAATATCAATCAACTTTTCGATTCAAAATCAATTTTTATGCATTTTAACACATCAAAAGGGCGCATCATAAACTACAATTGTAGGTAAAATTCTCTCATTTCATCCCTCATTGCTTGCATTGATCCTTTGTTTGAGTTGAAAAACTTTCGCTAAGTCTAAAAATACATTTCCGAACTCATCTGTTACTGATTTTTAAAAATGTTGTTGTTTTGCTTCTTATTAGATATGGCTCATCCGAATATGTTTCCGAAAATAACTTTATGTAACAATGTAATAGAGGATGTATCAGAAGAGGATGTTAAACTAGTTGAAGTTAAAGTGATAGAGATAGACGTTGGTCAACGTTTCATAAATAAACAACTGTATATTGCTCGTAAATATATGATTCAATGAGTCTGAATGGTAGTCATGAATTTTAGGTTTGACATTATAATCGGAAGGTCCGACAATTGTTTAAACAATTGACAATTATTTGTAACCGTGATATGCGAGAGAAGTGACACGTATATTCCTCCCATTTAGAAGTTGAAACGTGATGGCACCAGAATAAGAAAATGTAATTGTCCATTTAAACCGCATGAGCATTGTAGCGTCGATGTGATGTAGAAATTTAATGTGCTCTCTAGAATACTTAATCATGAATTATATACAAAGCTAGTCGGTCATCCCATCGTATGTTGTCTTAAATTGGAGGAGAAGAAAATTCTTTCGAATATGTATTTAGTCAGAGTGGCGCTGAAAAATATACTTGCAGATTTGAAACGGAAACACTTAAAAAATGTTTCAAATATCAAGCACTTAGGAAGACTTATGGTCTTCCACGTGCTTGTCTCATTGCAAAAAAAATTAAAGAATAGTTGCAACGATTGAAGTGAATGCAAACATTCAAAGATCAACGTCCTGATGAAATTGTTATGTAATATTGAATTTATTTTCGTGACTATCTATGTAATGGATGTTTTTATCTATGAAATGTTGATTTTGATGTTTGTTTTTATTTATTCAACTGTCATGTTTCCATTCATGTTGCATTTGTTCTGGAAGCAGGTATTGCTCGGAAATAGATATCTGAACTAACCCTTTTAAGAATTCAGAGATGTTTTTCTGAACTTTTTTGTGATAAAAATAGTATTTGGTGCATCTGGAGATACATCTCTGAAAACAAAAGACATTTTGAGAAATTCACAAAGAGTCTAGGAAAAATAGCAAGGATGTAAAGAGAAATTGCCAACAATAAATGCTTTGAATGATGAAGTGCATGTTTGGATTCACTTTTACAAGTCATAACACTTCTATTCCACTTCAACATGAAAATTGATCCTTTTTTTGTTTTGTTTGGATTATTCTTCAAATCAATTCTCCTTCTCCAAAAACAATTATCTTAGAAGCTACAATTTATAACTTTTGAAATTGTAAGAATCAATTTTACATTTATTATACTTTAATTGTTATAACTCTTTTTAACTTTTCTTCTTTAACTTTCATCAGCAGACTTTTCTTCTTCTTTTTACTTTGTATTAGATTTATTATTATTTTGATAATTATATATTTTAAATCAATTTTAATAAAAAATACTTTTAAAAAATTAATTAATAATAATCACTTTTATATTATCGTATTAAAACATAAATAAATTTGATAAACTCTATTTTGTTAAAATTAATTCCATCAAATTTAATTATATCAAAATTAATTCTGTTTAACACTAATGCAAACACGTCCCAAAGCTATCAAATTCCTTTTTTTTTTATAAACAATACAGTCTTACTAATTCTCCTAATTTTTATGAAATTCTAAAAATTGTAATTTTGTTTTGTTTGGAATTAAGAAACGCCATTTTGTTCAATCCATGTCAAATATTCAAATGAGTGAGTCCAAATATTAATATTAAGATGAACCATCGAGATAGTAAAATTCAAAGATACTCTTAAAATACAAACACTTCATTTTCCCATCCATTCCGCAACATTTAAAAACAAAGACCAAGTATTTCAATTCTCACTCATTCAAATTAACTATGTCAATCAATTTTAGAAGTTAACTTGCATTTGATTACGACATTTGCAGAACATTTGGTAAACTTAAATGTTTCACATCCTCACATTACACCAAATTAGTATGATACAATCTTTTTCTTTTTAGTTTTGAATTAATGTACATTATATTTTATCCACTGTATTTGTTATATCTATCACCACTCGTTTCGTTTTTGATTTTGTTTGATTTGAACAGTTGTTCGAACAATGTTATATAGATTAAACATGGCCTTTTGTTGGGTGTGATAAGTGTATGCATGTTTATGACCTATAGAAATATAAAATATGGACAATAATTTTGATGTTTTTACTGATGTTATCTCTTGTGTTGTGTGAGTATAAAAAAATTATTGATGAACAAAAAAATGGTTGATTATCACAACAATGCATTAGTTCATATAGAGAAATCTAAATCTTTTATGGGTTAGTGTAAAGTAGGACAATCATCTGACATCACTGAAGGATTATCGTCACAAGATCAGTGATATTGATCTAATAGAAGACCCCTGACCTATACATTTACTCCCGCACATGCTTCCTCTGCACACTTGAGAGATTTCTTGGAGGTTAGAAAAAACGTTATTACTTTCATTATAGTTGTTGCTCATGTTTGCAACAAAGGTAATGTAAATATCTAGTTATGATTTTAAATATTTGATTTATTATATTTATATTGACATTAATCATCTGAAGATGAAGTATCAATTTATGTAGTTATATGAGACACTAAAGTGTGTTAACCATGATAGAAAGATAATGCAACAACAACACATTGAATCATGATTTCAACAAGTATTAAAAGCATTCGAACGGAAGGATATTTTTCGAAATGAATTTGGTTACATTGTGTTTGTGGAGGATATGGGGATTGAAATGCTCTAGATGGAGGGTGAATAGACCATTTCTCTAAAAACTATTTCACAAACATTTCCTTTTACAAAATCTGACATTTACAAATATATGCACAAATTAACTACTCTGAGGT